TTGTCATGTTGGAAGGTAAACCTTCTTCCCATTGACAACTTTCTGGCAGAGAGCAGCAGATTTTCCATGAGAATTTAATGATATTTTGCCCCATCCATTTTTCCTTCTATCCTGACAAGTGCTCCAGTCCCTGCTGCAGAGAAACAGCCCCATAACAGGATATCACCACCTCCATGCTTAGTAAAGTAGCAGTACAGTAGTAGGAATGCTGTTATTTGGATGGTGAGCTGTATTGGATTTCTGCCAGACATTACTCCAGTCTTCAGCGTCACATCCATCAGAAATTATCCCAATATGCTGATTTGCTGCTAAAGAAACATTTCTCATTTCTATCAATGTTGAAAACAGTTGTGCTGCTTAATATTTATGTGAAAACTTTGATATATTTCTTCGATTAAAGTATATTCAAAAAACCAAACACATTCTAGACTGATGTTAAAGGGTCAATTGGGTGTACATTGATGGGTGTAATTGATGGTAGTGTCTCAGACTGTTATTCCCTAAAAGGTAAAAAAAAAAATTCCCACTTTTTAAAAAAAAATAAATCACAAAAAATATGATTAAAACTCACATTAAAGGGGTCATATGATGCTGCTAAAAAGAACATTATTTTGTGTATTTGGTGTAATGAAATGTGTTTATGCGGTTTAAAGTAAAAAAAACACATTATTTTCCACATACTGTACATTATTGTTTCTCCTCTATGCCCCGCCTTCTTGTTTTTAAAAATCGCTACATTCACCATGTACCTTTAAGATGAACTTTCTTGGTATTTAACTACAACATAGGAGAGAACACATGTTTCAGTGACTTGGAATGTAGATTGCAAAATAATTCAGTATATAGTCTACAAGCAACTCATCTATCAAGCCATTCTGAAACACCCACATTTTAAGCCACACTGGATGACAAAGCCCATTAAAATATAATTACATGCACAGCTCCATACACATACAGGTCTGCTGAAGGATTATAAGAACAAGTATTTGTATTTATTGGTCTTCTGAACCGTGAGGGTAATGAGAACTTGTTCGCTCTCAGCGGCGAGCTGGCATGCCAAGAGAATATAGATGTGAAATAATTAAACGAAAGACCTGACTTTGCAATTCACAGAGGATGCCAGTAATAAAATGTCACACTGCTCAGAGGAGAGACACACAAAAATTATATGAACATGAATATTGCCATATATAAAGCTATAAACTTATACAATTAAATCACAAATAGCCTTAACAGAAAGAAGAAAACTGAAAACATCTGGCTAGCAGGCAGTTATTCAATGTTTTACATGTAGTGCATTCAAGAACAAGACAATAATAATGTCAGCTATTCACAAATGTATGGGGAAACGCTGAAAGTAATGGTTCGGAAAATCATGCAAACTACGCTTTGGTATGATCACACACTATCATGAACTTGATATGTGTCCTTTTAGAAAATGTCAGTTTGAATATAATCTGCCATTATGTGCATCTGAAGTTGTTCTTGGTATTGTGAGTAACCCTTACCATCAAATAACGTCATCAAATCACTATACTCTCATGACTCACTATACTCCCTTGTCTAGAAATCATTTGTATCCGCAGCATGGTGGCAGCTTATATCCTTTTATTTTCCTGAGGGCTATGATTCAAACACTCGCCGTGGGATTATTGAGACTGCACTTATTTTCCGTCATTTCCTGATATGCACTAGGCATACTTGTCAGCTTTGTAGGAGGATGCAGAGACTAAAACCAGCTCCATTCTTGCCAGGAAGCCCACTCAGTTCACACAACCTGTTGCACATCAACGGCCCAGTAGACAGGAATGAGATGAAAAATGTGCATGATTGAGAGAATGGCACATCTTATCTGCGTTTATGTTAAGGTTCTTACTAAATTGTGTTGTGCTGCACTGTTTTGTGAGTCATTGTTCTTTCTTATGGCACTCCTAAAAATTTTACAGTGAATTGTGTTATATTAAATTCTGCTGTATTCTCAGGAATCAGTGCGATTTGTGTCCAATGACCTACTGCTAATATGAAAAAAGCCTCCCCCCCCCTCTCTCTCTCTATATATATATATATTTACAGATAATGAACATCATATTCTACGGTCATATTATTTCATATTATAATAATTTATTTTATTATTATTATTTGTCAGATTAAGTTAATATTAAAATAAACTGAAATGTGAACCATAATATAATATAATATAATATAATATATGTAGCGTCTGCGTAAAATCATGGATGGTCTTTGGTGTTTTATGGCTTAAGAGACCCCTTTTAGCCTTTGACATTTGCATATAAATTACAGTCCTGGCCACAGATTCTACATTTATATGGGTGTTAAATTGTCAAATGGTTCCCCCCACTATCAAGGAGATGCTAAGCAGTCTACCACTATCATCTCCCCATCTGACTTCAAATAAATTACAGTCCTGGCCACAGATTCTACATTTATATGGGTGTTAAATTGTCAAATGGTTCCCCCCACTATCAAGGAGATGCTAAGCAGTCTACCACTATCATCTTCCCGTCTGACTTCAAACAGTTTCCAAAGAGAAGTAAATGACACCCCGGTGCCAGGTGCCAATGGGCCTGGCTGACCTGCAAAACTACACCATACACACAATACACAACACACACACATATAGACCTTTTCTTTATTTAGACAATAATTAATCAGTTACAATTGTATCTGGTATATGCATGTGTTGTTTGTATGTTTCCCTATTGTATTAGCCTAGTTACAACTCTTTATTTGTATTAGTTAGACTCTCAATGCTTATATTCAGGTATATGAGTGTATCTCTGCTTTAAGATCTTCTAGATGTTTCGTTCTTGGTATCAAAATGATCTGCTCTTTATTCCTCAAACAATGATGTACACTATGTGATCGTGAAATGCATCATACTATTTGTACCATATTTTGGGTAAAACTGCACCAATCCTCCAGACCGGCCATAAACATGCAAATGGGCCATAAAGGGAGACAAAAAAAACTTCTCCCGCTCAAAAATTCACGCCTGGTATTGGCTATTCCACCCAAAGGTGGGTGTGGATAGGTACTATGAAAGTCATTAGCTTAGGCTCATCTCTGCGTAGAAAACCTCTTCTTTTGAGACAACACTTTCCAAGACTCCTAAAACTCTCCTCTTGAGTTTGATTTTCCGGCAGTTTTTATCTTTGATTTAAAAGATGAATGTGCACGCCACGATGCCACGATGTGCACGCCCACTTAAAAGACATCGACTTTCACTTGCAATGCCAATGTTACCACATGAGACAGACTCTATCTGCTCAGGATCACCGCCAGCCGTGAGGTGAGGAGCTTTCTAGACCGGCAGCCAGAAACGGTCAAAGTGGATTACCAGC